TGACACAACCAAAATTTAATAAATAAATTAATGATTTAGTTTTTGACATGTTATTCAAAGGGGTGTTGTCATTCCTTCTCAAAGAAAACTACTTTGTCTAACACTTTTTATAGTCTTTACTTTTTTCATAACCATATTTTTTTATTCCTTCTCTTTTTAAAGTATGTGCTTTTAACATTGTTAACTCTTTATAAGCAATGAGATAAATATTTATTTTCTTAAATCTTTATTTAACTGAGTTTGGGAAAGATCTTAAAAAATTTTTCTTAACAAAAATAAACCACATTTTGTCATCTCACAAAATCATTAAATTTCAATCTTATAGAGTTAGTCTAACTCCGTATCTTTGGCATATTCTATAATCAAATGCCTACCATAGAAATGACTATTTTTAAGTGCTGCCATAGCGTTTGCAGCCTCTTGTTTTGTAGCATATTCTACAAAGGCAAAACCTTTATTTTGTCCATCCACCTTCTTAGGAAGACGTACACCACGAAGAGTGCCATAAGTTCTAAATAGTTCTCTAACTTCTTTAATGTTAGTTTCAAATGGTACATTTTTAACTAACAACTTATTTGACACTTTGTGTTCTTCAATTTCTTTTCTTTCTTTATGGTCTTCGTCTTTGACTTTAGGCTGAGATATTTCAATCTGAACTGCATGCCCATCAATAACTTTTCCCTGTAATGTTTTAATAGCGTTGATGGCATCTTCATGCCTAGCATATTCAACAAAACCAAATCCGGAATTTTTCTCAACCTTCTTATCTTTTGTTTTAGATAAAGTAACTGCCAAAACTCTTCCACATTTTTCAAATACCTTTCTAATAACATCTTCTTTTGTTTTAAAGCTAAGATTTTTAATATACAATGTCTTACTACCTTCTTCGACAAGTTCTGGTTGGTCAGTTTTAGTAATAGCTTTATCTTCCTCTTGTTTTGTTTTGCCTTCCTCTTGTTTCTTTTTATCTTCTTTTTGTTTTGTTTTATCTTCTTTTTTCTTTTGGTCATCTTCTTTCTGTTTTGTTTTTGATTGTTGTTCTTGTGTAAGTTTTTCTTCTTCCATCTTTTTATTAAGTTTTTCTTCATCAAAGACTTTTTCTGGAGCCCATTCAAGATATAAAGGAATACCTCTATACCTTGAATAAACCAATCTTTTGAATGCGGTTTTAGCATCGTTTGCAATTTCAAATTCGACTAATGCCAATGCCTTACTTTTTGGCATTAAAAATTGTTTTAAGGTTCCAAATTTTTCAAATAAACTTTTTACTTCCAGGTCTATAGCACTTGCTGCAATGTTCTTAACAATAATAATATTATTACTACGCTTTTCTTTCATTCCATTTTCTAGAACAGCACAATTAACTCCATTTTCTTCTAACCATTTTTTTGTTTGATTAATAACATAATTTTCGGCTAATGCGACACGAACAGCCATTGACTCAGCATTAACATCTAAAATCTCTTCTTTTTTCATTCCTAATTCTTCTGCTACAGCACTTACTGCAGTATCTTGTCTCATATATAATGTTGACCAATTAAATTGATTTCCCGCTTTAGCCTTTAATTCATTTTGTTTCTTTTCTTTATAATTTTTACTTTCTCCAGTTTGTTGGCTAGAATATGGATCAGCTTTAGCATATGTCACATGAACAATTCTTCCTTTTATAAATTTATTATCCATTTCATTACAAGCTTTTACTGCATCTTGAGGAACAACAAACAAAACAAAACCAAATCCTTTTGATTTTTTCGTGATTTTATCAATTGGAAGATGTATTTCTGCAATATTGCCAAATCGATCAAATTCTTTTCTGATATCATCTTCTGTACAATTAAATGGAAGGTTAGTAATATAAATCCTTCCTTCTTCCCAATCTTTAACGTCAATTTCGTCCATACTTTTTTGATGTTCTTGTTCATTAATCATTTCTTCATCTTCTTCCATTTGTTGATTATTTTGGTCATCTTCTGAATCAGTTTTTTTTTTCTTACCGTCATCTAGTTTAGGTCTTCTTTCATTTGCAATTTTTTTTAATTCATCAAGACTTGAAGAGACCTTCTTCTTTTTAATTGTTGGTGTTTCATGTTTTGTAGGAATAATTTTTCTTTTTTTGTCATTAGAAAATGACGATGATCCAACACTATATTTTGACCAAGGTCTTTCGATAGTTTGGTCTCCAATAGCTTTTGCTAATGAAACTTGTAATTTTGAAGATTGAATATAAGCACCATTCATTTTTGTTATTGCGGTTTGTGCTTGGTCTTCATTTTCAAAACCAATAAAACCAAATTTACGTGAAACTCCTTGAGGAGTACGCATAACTTTACAATCAGTAATTCCACCAAATTTTTCGAATTGTTGTTTAAGAATTTTTTCGTCTGCCCGTTCAGGGAGATTCTTAATAATAATACGACTCATAATTAATGTATATCAAGTTCTAATCAATAATGATTAAAACAAGGGTTTATCTTCTTCTAAATGTTTTAAAATTTAAAATAAAAAATAAAAAAGGTTTTATCCAGAAACAATTAAGTATTTATGTAATTTCTCTATTAATGAGAATTTAAAAGATTTGTTTGATGTATTATTCTTCACTCTTAAAAGAAACAAATAAAGTAAACACGTAAATTAATCCAAACGTCTCAATTTAAATGTTTGATGGATAAAGGAAAACTTTAAGGTTTTGTCCCATTGCTTTTGGTGGAAGGTTGTGTAAAAATCTTGCTTTAACAACTCCATGATTTCCATGTGGTGCAACAATTTTACCAAAGATAGCACGAATAGCTGGTTTGTTACTTCCTTTCTTAACATTTACTTTGTAAACATAAGCAACACGTTTTCCAATGTAGAATGGAGTATCTTCTTTTGTATTTACTCCACTAATTTGAAGAAGAGCAACGTTTGGGTATTGATTTCTTTGAGCACGTTGGAATCCCATAAACACAGCATTAACGTGAAGTCTGCACTTGGACATGTTTTCCTTTTTGATCAATTTTCTAGTAACCCTTTGTCTTTTTTTCAGTTCATAGAATCATTTATTATAATTCTTTTTATTAGAATTTATAGTTTTATTTTTTTTTTTATGAAAATTATTAAAAAATTTAACATTTTTACAATGAAACAATTAAATAAAAAATTATTATAAAAATACTATTATTTTATTATATTCTATCCATTTATTGAGGAATGAAACTCATTAATAACAGAATGTCTCAATTTACTATCATTATAATTGATAATTTTGAAGATAAAAGAATTAAAACATTTTCAGTTGAGAAGGCATTAAATGGTATAAAAATTGGAAGACATAAATCGTGTGATATTGTTTTAAGTAGTTTAATGATAAGTAATTTTCATTGTATCATAAAGATTCAGTCAAAAGAAATGAAAAATGTTATTGTTTATGATACTAGTTCAAATGGTACTCAATATAAAGATGAAGATATTGGAAAAGGAAATAATATTATAATACCATTTGATGATAAAATATCAATAAATATGGCACCGAGTTTGTTAACTTATAAGAAAGTTTATAAAGGTAGTATTATAAATATTTATTAATAGACGACTTTTATAATATTACTTTTTCTACAGAATGTATAAATACTCCAAGTGAAGTTATTGTCAAAGGAGTTGATTTATTGTGTTATGAAAGATATAATATTATTAAAAGACTTGGTGAGTTTGTTATTCTAATTTACAAAGAAAAATGAAAGAAAAAGTATTTATCTATTAGTGGACAGTATAGTAAAGTATATAAAGCAATTATTAAATCAACTAATTCAATTGTTGCCTTAAAAATTCTTAATCAAACAAGAGAAAGATTTACATTAGATGAAGTTTCAAGAAGAGAATTAGAAATAATGAAAAAAATAAAACACGAAAATGTTGTATCATTTAGAGAATGTTTTGAAACTAAACAAAACACAATATTTGAAGTTGATTTTTGTGAAGGAGCTGATTTATTTAGTCGAATTATAACAACTGGAAAGATGGATGAACATGAGGGGGCATTTATTTTTATGCAACTATTAGAAGGAATGAATTATCTTCATTCTCAACACATCATCCATAGAGATTTAAAGCCTGAAAATATTTTATTAAAAGAGAATAAACCATATCCTACAATTAAAATTGGTGATTTTGGAATGGCTAAAATTTCACAATACGGAACTACATCTTGTGGGACTACTCAATATGCAGCACCAGAAGTAATTTTACCAACATCTGGAAGATTACAATATACAAAAGAATGTGATATATGGTCAATAGGAATAATACTATATATTATATTGTCAGGAACACATCCATTTAGTATGGAAGATGAAAATTTATTATATAAACAAATTAAAGATGCTCAATTCAATTTTAAAGATGCAATTTGGGATGTAGTTTCCAAAGAACCTAAAGAACTAATCAAATCAATGATTATCGTTGATCCACTTAAAAGAGCTAGTATTGCATCAATGTTAGACTGTGAATGGATTAAGAAAAATTCTGTATATTTCCCTGATAAAAAAAAGCGTTCAAGTGAAGGAGAAGAACCTGAAATAAAAAAGATTGATACTACAATTCAAATAGACAGTAGAGAAAAAGTTTAAAGTATTATTATAACAACAACAAAATCAATTGAACTTTTTATTACTTAAAAATTTTAGTTCATTCAAACATGAAAACAAATCCACACCTACTTGATGGTATTATTATATTTGAATCTGATTCTAATACAAAAGAAGTTATACCTGAATTATTTGAATATCCTAAACATTTTAAAGAATATTGTCAAAATATAGAAGAAAATCAATATGAGGCTATTGTATTTACTGACCAAAATAACTGTAGATGGTATGGACACTTATATGGACTAACTCAAACACATTCAATACTTATATTTAGTCATAGGTTTGTACTTTAATTGAAGAATTAATTAATTAATTGACATATAGGGTTTGGATCACTTGTTTTCGATATTTAATGAATATTATCAAACACTTATATATTGACAATAAACCACTTTTTTATCAAACTATTAATTATCTTATTCGTTATAATATTCAACCTTCAACATCATCTTTGTATTATCCAGATTCACAAATTAATTTTCAATTTAATAATATTAATCAATCAATTGAAACTGATGCTTTTAGTTTTCTTTCTAAAATATCAGAAAATACATTACGATGTTTATTTGCAAGTATTTTAAATGAACGAAGAGTTGTAATAATTGGACAAAATCCAAGTGAATTTTCTGTTGTTGTTTTATTGTTATTAGAAATACTCATTCCATTTGAATGGCAACACATTATTATAACTCATCTTCCGGTTTCTATGGTATCACTACTTCAATCACCACTACCTTTTATTATTGGAATGAAAACAAACGAATTTACTCAAATGTCAAATGAAGTTGTTGTTTTTAATATTGATACATTAACAATTCAAGCTACTGATATAAAGTTAGTTCAAACAGATATTGATTCATTTCCAATAAGATCATTTAATATTTTATATGAATCAATTAAACGGTCTATAACTTTAGAAAAAAGAGAACAAAGGAATGCAATTAAAAGTGCATTTAGTTCATTTTTATTCCCAATTTATAGTCAAATCACTAAGTACATTACATTAAAAGAAAATCTTAATACATTAGATGCTTATTTTGATGAACATTTATATATTCGATCTTCTAATGATGACATTAAACAATTCTTAAAGGCATTTATGAAAACTACTTTGATGCAACAATATATTGAAATAACAAAAGAAGATTATATACGATATCCTGTTCCATCAAAAATAAAAAATTAAATCTTTTTTATCCAAAAATTAGGGTTTTCTTTCTTATTCAATTACATTGTTATTGTTGTTTACATGACTCAAACAATTCCTAATAAACCAATTATTCTTAGTAAAGAACGTGTTGCATTATTAAGACAACGAGAACAACTACCAATTCGACAATCAAAAGACGATATTATCTCTGAATTAAAAAAACATCAAACAATGGTTGTGGTTGGTGAAACTGGATGTGGTAAAACTACTCAACTACCTCAATTTATTTTGGAATCAAATATTTGTGAAGGAAAGAAAATTGGAGTTACTCAACCAAGAAGAGTTGCTGCTATTACTTTAGCAGAACGTGTTTCAAAAGAAGTTGGATGTCGTGTAGGAACTACAGTTGGTTATAGAGTTAGGTTTGAAGAAAAAATGTCAAAAGATACAAAGATAGAATATCTTACTGATGGTATGTTATTGAGAACTGCGTTACTTGACCCTGATTTAAAATCTTATGGAGTAATTGTTTTAGATGAGGCTCATGAAAGAACAGTTCATACCGATATTCTTATTGGATTGTTGAGAGGAATTTTAAGAAGAAGAAAAGATTTAAAAGTAGTTGTTATGAGTGCTACATTAGATTCTCAATTATTTAGTAACTTTTTTGCTGGACCAACATTAACAATTGCGGGAAGACAACACCCTATTGAATTGTTTCATTTAACTGAATCTGAAGATTCTCCTGTTGATGCTTCTATCACTGCTATATTACAACTTCATATGAGTGCTGGTCCTGGAGATATTTTAGTATTTTTACCTGGTCAAGATGCTATTGAGTCTGTTGAAGCTGCATTGCTAGAACGAATGAAGAATGCTCCAGCAACAGTAAAACCAATTCAAGTTCTTCCTTTATATGCTGCATTACCACCAGAACAGCAACTTCTTATTTTTTCACCACCTCCTCCAGATACAAGAAAGATTGTATTAAGTACTAATATAGCAGAAACATCTGTTACTATTCCAGGAATGAGATTTGTTATTGATACAGGTCTTGTTAAAGAAAAAGAATATCAATCAAAAATAGGAATGGAGGCTCTTAAAACTACTTGGGTTTCAAAAGCCCAAGCAATGCAAAGGGCTGGTCGTGCAGGAAGAGAAGCACCAGGACAGTGTTATAGATTATACACATCAAAAAGGTTTAGTGAGTTCAGTGCAACTACAACACCAGAAATTCAACGATGTTCATTAGATGGTGTAGTCTTACAATTAAAAGCCTTAAATGTTATTGACGTGACTCAGTTTGATTTTCTTCAACCACCATCAGGGGATAGTATTTCTAGAGCAGAAATTAATTTATCCAAATTAGGGGCGTTAGAAAATGGTCGTATCACTCCATTGGGTAAAGTCATGGTTGCTCTTCCTGTTGCTCCTCCATTTGCTAGAACTATAATTGCTGCAGCACAATCTAATTGTCTTGCTCATATTTTATGTATTGTTGCTATGTTAGCTGTTGACACACAATTTTTTGTTTCAGCACCATCTATTAGGGAAAAAGCACAACAGTCAATGAGAATGTATTCATCTGATAATGGGGATCATTTTATGTTATTATCTTTGTATTTAGCTTTTAAGAAAGTTGGTGTTAATAGAAGAAAAAGGTGGTGTGTTGAAAATGCATTAAATTATAAAGCATTAAATACAGCATTATCTACACATGACCAATTAGTTCAATATTGTGTTGGGATATTGGATAAAGAGCTAAAAGGATCAACTGCGAAAGAACAATGTACTGAAGAAAATATGAAAAGAATTATTAACGAAGCAATTCCAGAGACAATTATTAAAAGTATCAAAAAAGCATTTTTAGTTGGATTTCCAGATAACGTAGCTATTAGACAGCCCGATAATACGTACCTCACAACAACTCAAAAAATAGTTCATATTCATCCAAGTAGTTGTGTACATAACAAAAAACAAAAATATGTTCTTTTTGCTGAACTAGTTTATACAACAAAACCTTTTATTCGTTCAGTTCTTTCTTTAGAATCTGAATTGATTCAAGAAGAAATGCCAAATTTAATTCATGATTGATTGATTTGATATTTAGTTAATAAATAAGTTTTAAAGAAAAGAAGTCAATTAATTATCCTTAATAGAAATTATTGGAAGATATTCAATATCATCAAATGAAAATACTGCTTTTGTTGTTGAAGTAGGATGAATTTTCATTAATTTCATTGCAGTCAACATATTAGACATTGATATTTTATATAACATTCCAACCATTTCGTTAGGAAGATAATTATTTTTATTATTTAATTTAATTTCTTCAATAATTTCTTTACATTTTTTCAGTTCATTAACAGAATCAATAATAATTAATCCTGGTTGAATGTTATTATTACGTTGTTCTTCATATTTTTCAAATGGAATATATTGTGGTGTATGACATTTTTCAAATGCAGAAAATCTAAGTTCATAACGATATTTATTATTACCAAGTAAAAATTCTGGTGATTTGATAATATTCATTTTATTTAATGCTAAAAGTAATTTAGTAATTCCACTGATTAATGTTTTATATAATAAAATAGTTAATTGTTCCATATTTGGTGTTAGTTTTGATGGTTTGATATTTTTTGATTTTTTTGATATTGAATACATTCTTCTATCCATATCTAATTGTATTCTAAATTCATTTAAGTGTTCATATGACATACTAAATAAAATAGAAATATACCAGTAAATCATATGATATTCATAATCACTATATAATTTTAATGAAATACCAATTAAAAGATATTTTATCATTAATGAAAATTTTATTTGCATAAGATATCCATTAATATAATGTCCTGGCATTATAAATTGTGGTTTAAATGTTGGTGGGTGATATTTTTGTATTTGTTGTAAATCAAATTGATATGCATCATTATGTGTCATTTCAATACTTCAAGTA